GACAGAAACAAAGAGAATCAATAAGGATGGACATGAGTTAATTAAGTTTTTGATAATTTGATTTGAATATTAAATCTATTTTACTTGTCATCTAATCTAATTCAAAACTGGGAAAATTTTATTTAATTTAAATTCGATTTGATCTTTAAAATAAAAACAGGCACTCGACCTATATATATATTCTTATTTTTCTTCAGTAAAATAAAAAATATAATTAAAAATGATATAATATAAAAATGATATAATATATTCTTATTTTAGTTTGAATTTTTGGGTGTTTGATAAAAAAAGGAATGGGTTTGGGTTTTGATGTTTGTGAAGATCAAATGAGTGTTTTTAGGATGAATACAGATGAACAATAATTTAAATTTTGGGTGTTTGATCGAAAAAATAATAAACGATTTGAGTTTTGGTGTTTGTGAAGATCAAATGAGGGTTTTTGGGATGGACAAGGATGAACAAAAGATGAACACGGATGAATATCTACTAAATTATCATCGAGTAGGCTTGATTCACATTCGGGGATGGCTTCATAAGTAAAATCTGACTCCTAATGGCTGAATACAATTCATGAAGCCCCATCAAGAACTGAACAACCTCTGCTGAGCGAAATGCTTAGCCATTTGCTTCGAGCTTTCACAAGCACAAAGGGAAACAGGAACTAAAACGCTATACTTATCCCATAGCAATTTTATCTTAGTGTAATAGGCAGCACCGTGAGCACTCCCTGTATCAAGGAAGCAATATCATGATGGAAGAAGAAGGCCCTATAACTATCAACCGTCTCAAAACGCTCCTTGAGATCCTTTCACACAAGTGCAGCACTCGACGCAAATATCATCCCAGCCGAAAGATCTTTACTAATTGTGTTCAAAATTCACGATAGAACAATATCATTGCATCGTTCCCGGTTTGGATGCAAAGAATCCTCAAAAACTTCCTTAACAAAATCATCATCAACAAACCTTAGTTTGTTATTTGCAAGAAGGGCTATGCGCATAGAACGACTCCAAATTTTGTAGTTCTCGAGCCCAATTAACTCATCCGAAACCAGCAAAACCCTCGACGTATCCGAAGGATGAAGAAACAGAGGGTGATTGAAATCAATTTATGTGGTTGAAGGCATCCTGCGAAGAATCGAGATGAACCCTAATTGAAAAGAAAAAAATTAGGAAAAAACACAAAATTAATTGAATGAATAAGAGAGAAAAAAAACAAAGCTCAAATACGAGTAAGCCCAAACACAAAATTACTGATACCATGTTAACTAAAGAAAAACAAGACTATCGGAAAATTTTCCTCTCATGTATATTAACTTTCACAGTACAACAATATATATATATATATATGCTTTCCAACTAACACAATAACCTATTGTATAACTGAAATGTAACTAACTAACAGCTCTTTAAAACTAACAAAACCGAACATCTATATGATTTTAACTCATAATTGAATCAAAGTGAATGAATAATTTATTTTATTTTTAACAATGTAATAATACTAAAATAATGTATGTTTTATTCTCTTTTTAAATTATATTACTAATTAATCATCACCATTTATAACAGTTTAAGGTTAAACATCACTATTTCAACAAAACAAAAAAATATTCAATGAACATCTCCTCTTTTAAAAAATTATCTTTATGTTTGGTCTTTATATATAAATGAATCACGCGACATTGATAGTTAAAGAATTTGTTGTTAACTTGTTATTACTTGAAGTCTCGAGTTTGAGCATCGTATATATAAAAGTACGAATGTTTATCATAAAAAAATTTTAAAATTTTAAAATATATATATTACATTATATTTGTCCAGGTTTATATAAAAATTCATATTTATATAATCTAAACCTTTAGTTACTATTTTTTCATTCTCATGAATAACTTTGAAATACATTGAAACCATGAATGTGTTTTGCTATAAAAATAAGGTCGAAGAAATGCCAAGAAAGACGCAACCCATTAGTGTCGACACAAATGTAAAAGCGCGTGGACAAAATCCACGAGACCGTACCAAAAGCAAAATTAATTATGTTGCCCCCACACAGCGTGTGCTCCACGTGTATATCCTGCGGCTAAACCCAAAGTTAAGTACTCCCATAATTCATCGGCTAGAGATAAAAATGGTAGTATTCATTGGTGGTCTTAATAAAAAATAATATTATTTTCTTTGAAATAATTTTTTGTTGTTGTCTTGGATTAAAATAAATTAAACAAGTATTATATTATAACTACATCAAATTATTAGATAAAAATAAAAGGTTAATATATTTCCATCTTTATCTACCGCTTGTTTCATAAATGCTCACCAGAAACAACCAACTCTTTCAATATCCGCTAAAGCAGAGGCCCATCTAGGTGGTGTGTCGTATAGGGTTAACTCCACCAAATATCCCAAACTATTACTCAAATTCTACATCGGTCCTTAAAATTCAAGATATTTTTAAAGTATCGATATTGTATCAATCAATTATTTTAATGCGTGTTTTAAATACATTAATTGTCATATTTAAGCTGGCATTGTACACCTGAGCTAACGGCTAGTGTAACTGAAGGACCTATTTGATATTTTTTTAAAAAAAATTAAAATTTTAGGGACTGACATGCAATTCGGGTAATATTTGGGACATTTTGTGGAATTAACCCTATACAAGTTACGATCTTTAGCTTGTACAATTTATTGGAGAGCCAGTGAGTTAAACCCTAAATTAGATTGTTATTATGACAACTGAGATCATATTTATCCTCAAAAGGGGGTGGGGAAATAACACTACTGAGGCAAAGACGTGTCCTTTCGAAAGGACCAAGAAGACACTTCTGAAGCAAAGCTGGTGAGTTTATATGAAGATCATGGTCTGAAAATGGCTTAATTTATAAATGCAAAAAGTACATTTTTTTCTGGTTTCTCATTGTTGAACACTTGATCTTATTCTTGTTATAGCGTTCGCATGTTCCAAAATCCGGTGAGTGGGAAGATGATGATCTACCGGATACGACATACTTGGAAAATGCTGGAAAAGAGAAAGGTGGCAAAATGATGAACCCTAATGACTCCAAGGGCAATTCAGATGCGTTCTTGTACATGAGGGGAGGCCAGGAAGGTAACAATGATTTTCGGCACGATCACGCGTTCCGTTCGCACCCGGTTCGAGTATGTCCGAATCGGCATACAAACACCGTCCGAGTAGTTCCAACAGGAATGGTTCTATCGACTATCAAAGAAGTGCAAGAAGGCAAAGGAACACAAGACTAGAATCCGGAAGCGAAATCAGCACCGGATCGGATCATACGGTTACGCATTTGAATCATCATCGACGTACAAGCTCGTGTCCGAAGAACGGTCGGCACGACGGCGGAGGTAGCTTCTCCGGATCTATCTCAAGACAATCACAATTAGATGGGAATTATGAATACAAAGTAAGTATTCTAACATTAACATATAATCGGCACCCTAAACTTTTATGTATTTATCCTTTATATAAAATGACGCGTCTGTCCGTAATAAATAGCATCAAAGAACAACATCGGTGCCGAAATTCGGGTAATGGGACGAAACAGATCCCACATCGGGTGAAGGGTTTACTGTGATATTCAACAAAGTGAAAGAGGAGAAGCATGCACCCCCAGCTTCCAATTGTTCAACCGTGGCTCCTGAAGTAAAAACCATGAATTACTCCGATTGTCATCGCAGAAAATGTCCAACTCTTTCGTGCGGATCAAAGTCTAAGGTACTTTAATCCACGGATAAACTCATCGTTTTCAATAAATTTTATTAATTTCTTTAGACCCTTTTGTTTAATTTACTTGTTTTTTGGGTTGCAGATATGTTGCTGTTTATTTTGATGCACGTGAGTTGTGAATATCCCACGTGCATCATATTTTCAGTTTTCAAGTGAAAGTGAGTAATAGGTTTGGGATTTGAACTGCTTTTGTTTTATAGTCGATGTGGTTTTCCTCTACATTTATTTTTATAATAAGAACTCGGCATGAACAACTTATGAAGATCTAATTTGATGCCTATTTCACAACAACGATTTTAAAAATATTTTTGAAATTAAATATACATATATAAATTTTTTCATGTAACAAATATAAATAAAAATTTTAAGATGAACAATAAAACAAAAAATTAAATAGAAAAATTCAAATTTTAAAATAAACAAGTATTTACCATAAATAAAGCATACATCTACCACTGATCTTACACCTAAGGATGGACATAGGACCAGACCTGATTTGATCATGTCGGATTTTTAATTAAAAATAAATAAATTTGGATCGAGTCAGATTTTTTAAAAATTATGTTCTAATCGGATTCAAATTTAAGGTGAAAAATATCCGACTCGACCCAAAAAATTATAATTTTACCTTATCCATTTAAGGATAATTGTAATAATATCATCCATATATTATTTTTTTCAATTAAATCCCTATTTTTATTGCATAAAAATAATATTTTTTTTAATAAATATATTATTTTGGGTTGAATCGGGTTTGAATTTTATCTCAAAAAATCAAATCGACTTCGGGTCAGGTGAAAGATATATATTTTTCGGATCGGGTTGGATCATGTAAAAGATATATATTTTTCGAGTCGAATTCAGATGGAACATCTATAATTTTCAGATCAAATGGGCCGAAAATCCAACCCAACCGTCCCATGTCCATCCCTACTTACGCCTACCACTGATCTTAGATTGAGGTAGATCAATTAAATTCGAAAATTCAGGCCAAGACATGCAACCTTTAAATTTTAAACGTATTTCAGGTTTAAATAGATATCTTTCAAATTGTTATTAGGCTTAAAAAGTACTTTTTCAAACGTAAAAACGATGCATTTCTATCAGAATTATCTGCTTAAACATTGATTATAGCTCAAAAAAATACTTTTGGCCTCAAAATGTAATTTTGAAAAACAATATGAAACAAAACATAGCATTATGGCATCCAATGCACAATACAAAGGCACAACTTTACACTATTTCTACCGTAATTATTTGCATATGTACCCATCTACTTTCTTAACATTGCATTTCATAACATAAACCAGCACCAAATACGTAAAAGCTTAGAAAATTCCTCTTTTTCCAAAGAAAAACACTATTCCATATATACACTAAAACATACTCATTCATCTTCACAATACAACATATTCCATGTATAGCTTCAACCAAAAATACAATCTTTACTTTCCCCGGCATGCTGATCCAAAAGTAGATTATCCTTTGATTAGTATGCAGTTTCGGACTTCCTCTTTATGTGTTATATTTCTTGATTTCTACCACATTTGCATGCATGCACTTGATCTTGCAGGCAATGGAAGATAAAGAGTTATACTGGTATTGTGATACTTCAACCTTTTCCCATCCTTAAGTAGAAACTTAAGATCGATCGCGATGAATCTACACAGGGACAACATCGGCATTCTGATTCTCATCACATGTCATGATAAGACCTTCGACATATGTTGGAAGGAGGCACCGATTCCATTGGCATCCTGTTGGGATAGGTTCTGATGGTGGCACGATCATGAGTACATTATCATGGCGTCGGACAACCCCCATCACGCTTACCGTACTCCCTTCTTTTATGTAACTGATACAAAAAAGCATATGTGCCCTTATCAGCAATGAACTATAATTATATTCGGAGCTGAAGTCAATTAAATCACACAAAGATACAACTGAGGTGGACAACAAATTAACATGAGACTACAATTGGAAGACAATAAATGGCGTACCCCTCCTTTAAGCGCATTATACGGTCATCACTGGAGATATTCCGTTCCGCTAGCCAGCTTAAAAAGCTTGGAGATAAGTCCCTGTTTTCTTTTGTTATGTCAACTGCAGTAGCCGGTTTGACAAATGGAGCAACCTTAGCTCCATAGCCTGCTTTGACCAATGCTCTTAATCCAGATTGGAAATCTGATATGTAGAAATCCGCAACAAATTTCTGCTTACAACAAAAAGGTGTCTAAGAGAAATATACAGAAAAGGCAACATTTCTGAGTTTGCCAATAATGATAAATACACATTCTGAAGATTATTCTAAGCTGAAACAAATACCTCAGAATGTCTACATCCCCAGGAGAAGTAGCGATGTTTAGGATTTGCAGACTTTCCACCCCATCCCCTATACTCATACAATTCAGTGGAAACATATATGCATCTTGGCACCCGCTGGTAAGATGATTCCAATGGAATGCTACCACATGTGACAACCTACAACAAATGAAAACACTCAAGTAACTTAGTACACACACCGACAAAATTCAAAGACAAAATATATAAGAACAAACGAATGGTAAATAGCAACGGAAGCCATTGCCTTCCAAGCAGCGCCCCACCCCCACCCCCATGCGACGCTGTACTCTGCAGTGCATTTAGTATGTGAAGCATGCCTACTCGTGAATGCATCACCATGTGCACAAAACATAACTCCTAATAAATGATTGAGACCATAGCTAACCTATCTTCAGTAAATTCCCAAACTAGTTTACTCATGATGCAGTACTGATGTCTTACAATCTGTCCCGCAAAGATTAGATATTTTTTTCGGCGAAGAACACGAATTCAACACCTTGTAAAGACTCCTTTCCAGTTATAGGAACATGATCCTTCTTTGCAGAACAACAACATAGATAGTGTTAAACACCCACATTTAGTATGCTGACCTAAAATCCCATCCTTAGTTAAACTTAAACATCACTCAAAGGCAATCTATAAATCACCAATTGCAAACAAAAACAAGGCGAACAAATAGCCAAGTAAGCCCAGACATCGAACGGTTAATTAATCTGGGATAATAAAGACAAGTAAGAGATACCATATTATACATTAATCAAAATGGAAACTAAAACGACAAATCAACACACATCAATTAACGTGAATAATTGTTAAAGCTATCTCCAGTTTCCACAAATGGAAATAAAAAAAGTTACCCCAGTAACTTTCACGTATTGGCCATCAACAGCACCTCTAAGCTCAGCATCTGGGTACCTCCTCATGTACCCCAGCAAGCCTTTCCTTCCCCAAATACAATTCCAAACTAAACCCAACCCCATGGGGACAACCACCGCGCCCACCGCCCCAAGAACCACCACTTTTTTCACGGCAACCATCAGAAATGCCCCCACCAACAACCCCATCACCACCACCACCATAACCACCCAAATCACAGCCTTGGAAACCCTAAACCCAAATCCCACACCTTCCCCGAGACTCGTCACGCCGGGACCGTACCCTGATTTCCCGGAAACACCACCCGTTTGCTCGACCTGACCGAGCTGCCCCGACCTCCGGGGACCGGAGGAGCTGAGCGGACCCGAAGTGATTAGCCCAGTTGGCTGAAGCGGCATGGGACCCGACGATTTCCTGATGGTACCCGAGTTAGACCCGGATCGCATGGATCCACTGTTGGGCTGCGAAGAAGACGAAGCACGTGAAGGTTGCAGAACTTGCGACTGCTGCTTCGAGTTGGGGTTCGAGTTGGGGTTCGAAGGAGGACCACTGGAAGAGGAACGATCAACCAACATTTTCCCAAGCTCACCGGATTTCTTGATATCACCACCGGTGTACGGCACCGCCCGTGATGACATTGTCGGTTGCCGCTCTTTTAGATGCTCCGGCCTTCCAGAAACAAACAACCCATTGCTGAGCTGATGAGACTGAACCCGAGAACCCATTTTTGCCCTCCGTTTATTCTATAACAAACGAAGAGAATTAAAAAGAGAGAAAATGGAGAATTTTGAGTAGAAAAAAGTTGCAGACAGTGCGTTGAGTGGAGAGTGTGGAGGGGAGAGTTTAGAGTAAGAGTGGACGGGGAAACGAAATGACGGAAATGGGTCTGAAGGAATGCTGTAATGACGAATGTGTCCTTTTTGTGGGTTTTGTTGATGGCCGTGCGCTGTTGTTTTTGGAGGCCCACACGCGCTCAAGCTGATGCCGTTGTTTCTCTCCTTAATTTTTTTTGGAGTTTACATTTTATTCCTTATCTTATAGGTGTTGCCTTAATATGGGTTTTAATCCATTTGATTTTACTACTTTCCGTAGTTTGCTATCGATTTTTTGTGTATCATTCTCTTTATATATTTTTTAAATTAAATCGAAAATTAGTTTTTGTCTATATACAAAAATTTTTACGTATTAATTTATTTATATAGATTAATTTCCATTACAGACGTATGTATGATGACTGTATATGATGATTGTTTAACTATGTATTTATTTATTTATTTATACATGCATTGAATTTTATCTTTATTTTTAATTTTCTGACTACCGAATGTTTTCAATGAAAGTTGTTCTAAACCTGACGTTGAGGACAACCTATTACCCTACCTTTTTCTTATCTCATTATATATAGGAATAGAGATTTGTTGTTGTCGTCGTAAGAAAAAGTTTGAATTTGTTCCTATCCTATCACGTTTCGCCACGATACCACTGCTCTCCTCCCGCACGGTAACTCGTAGTAACTTCCTATGATTATCTACGGTAATTATTAAAGTGAATTTAATGATGCATATATATCTAGATCATGAACTAAGAAATAATAGTTTATTAGAAATGCTTTGGACAATCAAATTTGATTTATTTTCTAAAATATTCTTATGAATGATTGTTTTAAAGTTTCGAGATTTGAATTTGTTGAGGGTATTAGTAACTAAAGAATATATTGTTTTTTTATAACTTTTAAAGTTTAAATAATTATGTGTAAAATATATGTCTCATTACTTATTAAAAATATTTAAATAATTATTATGTTACCATCACTCTAGATTATTCAAATTACAAAAATAGTTAAAATTATTATTAAAAAAAATAAAACATGTGGGTTAAGTTTAATCCTAATCGACATTTTTATTGAGTTTATCAAAATTATATATCATAAATGAGATCCAATCAAAATCATTTGACTTTTCTAAATAACTTTCGTTATATAATTTAAATTATAATTAAAAAATTAACTCAAAATATAGTATAAATATTAAGATTATACATAAACATTAGTTTAATGTGTAATTATACTCATAAAAGTTTGATTTTGATTTAATTATATAAATAAAATTTTAATTTTAATTTATTTGTACACGTTTTGAGAATGAAATATGTCAATTTATTTTTGTATTAGATTAAAATTGTGATTGTGGTACATATATAAATACAAAAGATGTTACAACAATAATGATTTTAGTAATTTCTAAAAAAAATTGAATCAAATCAAAACTTCATATATATATATATATATATATATATATATATATATATATATATATATACACAAAATTAAAGTTCACATAGAAAAATATGTATTTGACCAAAGTAGTTTTTATGATTGAACATTGATTTTTTAAGCAGTATTATAGATAGTTGTATCCGAGAGACGTTAATTTAATCATGTCATTAATTATTATATTGTTTTTAAGATAAATTCATTGTATATTTTATTTAATGTTTTTAATGTAGTGTGAATATTATCGAATCATAAAAATAACAAAAATTAATATTTGAAAATAAAACATGCAGACTACATTTCCTAGCTGCCAATTTTATCGATTTTATCAGAGTCGTGTACCATAAATAGATCAAATCAAAATTAATTGTTCAAAATTTCCTAGTTGAAGTGGTTTGATGGGTTCGAAGTTTAAAAGAAAGGAAATAAACAGAGAGAGTTGTGAAAGGGCATATGAGATTGTGGCGAAATGCATGTAGAGAGTAAATGGTTGTTATGATGTGTCACGGTCAAAATAGGTAAGGAATGGTCCCCCAAAGGGCTTGGCGTTTAGGAAGAACAGTAGGGCAAATTCAATATTTGGTCCCTACATCTTCTGGATTTCATTCTGCACAAAATCATTGAACGGTTAGGATAATCCCATCACAATCAGGACCCAGCCTTTTTTAATTTTTGGTTATGCTTATGTGGACCCCCTTATTCTTCTCACCCCAATTGCCCACTTGCATTAGATCTAACCCATTGCATTATTATTCCCATGCATTGTAACTAGTAGTCAAATTAAATAAAATATATTCGTACATCTTTTAAATAAAAATTATTAACTATTAGCTGTTTTAATGAGATAACACTCTTAAGTCTTTCTAATAAGGATAAAACTTTATATTTTAATATTATAAATATAGTAAATTAAAATAAAATTTTACATTTTAATCAATTTTTATAATATCTTATTTAAAATTTAGTTGATCACATGTATCTCATTTTCGAAGCATGATAGGCTATAACTCCGAAATTACTTGAAGTTTTCAAAAATTTATATCATCCGATCAATTATGATCTCATGATGTGATAATCTAAAGCCCACCTAATCTTTTACACTGTCAATTTATGAGTAATCATCATAAATGTAAACCTACCACCGACACTACATGTTAATATATAAACATCATGTTATATATTCTCTTTATTCTTTATCATTTAATACTATCAACCAAATACTAATTAAGTTAAGGAAATAATATTATTATTAGATTTTTACAATATTCAATTTGAATTAATCAGTCAGTTCCAAGGCTTCGTCTTGACTAATCTAAATCGACCTGGGTCGCACACCTGGCTTTGGTGAGTGAGTTTTCCAGTAGAGATTTTCTGCATATACAAGGACTCGAACCTGAGACCTTGCTTAAGCGATATCAAGTTGCTTACCACTTAAACCAACCACATTAACTAATTAATCAATCATTGATTCGTATATTTTTATATGATGTATCACATTGTCTATAAAAAAGTTATTTTCACATTTTTAAAACTATATTATTAAAAAAAACAAATGAAACCCATAAAAGGTAAAATACAAAATAGTGAGTGGTGAATTAGTGAAGGGGTGAGTTATACAAAATGTCCCAGATTAGGTTGTTGATAAAAAGGGTTTGTTAGAGAAAGCAGGTAGATAGCTAGATTTGCCTGGATTCGGGACATGGCTGTTAAATATGCCCTTATGGGATACCCCACCTCTATGCTCATCTACACCACTCACATCACACTCGTTTTAAGGGGAAAATATGCAAATTTAATCCCCAAACCGTCGGTACTGAGTACTGACAAAGGTCTACAGGAATAACAATGTCATTTAAAGACAAAAGTATCCTTCTTAGTAGGGGTGAGCAACACGGGGTACCTGATTATTTGTTTGAGAACTGAAATCGGAACCTGTTGTACTGGTTACTAAAAAATAGGAATTAAAACCTGTTCAATCGGTTCCTAAAAATTGGGATCAGGAATCGGAACCTGTAGGTATCGATATTGATTTTGGGTACCCTGTTATTTTGACAGCTTTCTCATTTAATCTGTTAATTGTTACACTTTAAGTGGGATAGTATGACGCCTCCAAAATTAAAATTGACCCTTTTTAACCTATTAATTTATTAAACTAAAATGATACTACTTATCACAAGTAGAATTTTTTTTTATACAAAATTTATCCACCATTTCATACTTAAACAGTAATAAAAACAATAACTCAAAGTACATATTAAGAAAACGCAAAGTTAGAAATCAATTACAACAAGTTTAATCCAAATTCAAAAGTATAGGTCACAAAACACATAAAGTCGCAAAAAGTCCAAACCAAGTACGTTTATAACTAAAAGATATTACACAATATTTGTAATTCCAACGCAATTTGCAGTCTTTTCTCAAATTTTAATACGGTGATGCCCTTGATGCTTTCTTGACTCCTAGCACAAAGACAAATAAGTTAATACAATATGCCCCAATTTGTAATAAAAATGTATTAAACTTACATGTAAGAAAATAATAAATGACAATATGATTTGTAATTTACCTTGAATGAGATTCCTTAGTAGTTTTTACCAATGACATAATTAATGAAGACGTGTGACAGGAAGCAGGAGAGACAAAGAGTGACTGCAACTGTTAGGTGGGTGAGTTAGGGTTTCTAATTTTTGGATCTATGTTTTTAGCTTTTTACGTTCAAAATATTTTTTTAGTATGGGCTCAATTTATTTGGGCTCTAATATTTTAGACAATATAATATTATACGGTGCCGGTTTCAGGGTACCCGGTATTGAAATCGCTTTTAGCCGGGTACCCAATCGATTTCGGTTCCAAAATTTTGGGAACCGGAACCGGAATTGATGTCAACAGGGTCCTTATTTTGCTAATCGGAACAGGGTTCCCCGTTCTTTTACTCACCCCTACTTCTTAGGAACTCCATAAATGTGATTCTTTTAATTGAATTTTATTAGTAAAAATAAAGAAAAATAAATAAGAATTATAACGCTGGATCCAAAAGAGAACAATATGAATAATATTCATAAAAAGTTTATATAAAAATAAAAATATTAAATTTAAATATACAAATAAAAAAAAGTATTTATTGAGAATGACGATCAACATTATTTGAATATAATGTAATTATTTTTTGAATAATTAAAAAAAGATAAAAAGGTAACTTTTGCCCCTGTACTAGACCCAATTTATCATTTTCACCACTATCGTATTTTCGCATCAATTTAGCCCTCGAAGTTGCTCAATTACATTGTTCTATAACACTACCCCCTAACTTAAAACCCTACATTATAACCCCTAAACCCTAAATCACAACCCTATTACCTCAAAACACTAACTTAAGGTTTATAATTTATGATTTTAAGTTAGAGGAAGGGCATAGAATGATGCAATTAAACAACTTTGAGGGCTAAATTGATGCGAAAATACGATAGGAGTAAAAATGATAAATTTGGTTTACTACAGGGGCAAAGGTGACCTTTAAACCTTAAAAAATTATGAAGATTTGTAAAT